AAAAAAAAAAAAAAAAAGAAGAAGAAAAGCAGTTCAAGGACTGCATTCTGGTACTCTCCAACATTTAAAGCTGGGAAAATAAGAAGGGAATAGTAAAAGAGACCAAGAAAAAATAGCCAGTGAGGTATCCTGAAGCAACTAAAAGAAAGTATTTCCAGGAAGAAATTGAATAATGAACAGTATCAAATGTCACTGACAGGTCATGTGACCTAAGGACTAGAAGTGACTGCTTGGTTTAGTAAGGTGGAATGACCTTGTAGAAATAGTTTTGGGAGATTAGTTGAGGGAGGGGTGTGTCTAAATTGTAGTGTATTGAGAGATAATAGAAAGTAAAAGAACTAATGACAATAAGTACAGACAATTCTCACAGTTCTTTCAAGGAACCTTACTCTAACAAGCAGATAAATGAAGGAAAGCATGGGGTTGAGAGGATTTTTGTGGTAAAAAGTGGAGCAAGTTTAAGGATAGATGTGGTGGCTGTAATCCTAGCACTCTGGGAGGCTGAGGCAAGAGGATCTCTTGAGCTTAGGAGTTTGAGACCAGCCTGAGCAAAAATGAGACATCTCTACTAAAAATAGAAAAATTAACTGACTCTTGTGGTGGGTGCCTATAGTCCCAGCTACTCAGGAGGCTGAGGCAAAAGGATTGCCTGAACCTAGGAGTTTGAAGTTGCTGTGAGCTAGGATGATACCATGGCACTCTAAGCCTGGACAGTAGAGTGAGACTCTGTCTCCAAAAAAGAAATTAGAGCAAGTATTTGTGTGTGTGTGTGTGAGACAGAGTCACATTGTAAGAAGTATTAACAATGAGGATGGCTCCGTGTTTTTCTCTAGTCACATTAAGTAGCACGGGTGCAGGTGTAGAATAAGTGAGAGAAAAACTGATAGCAACTCTGAAGACAGCTTTTCAAAGAGTCTAGAGCAGGGGTCCTCAAACTTTTTAAACAGGGGCCCAGTTCACTATCCCTCAGACCATTGGAGAGCCAGACTGCGGGCCCCAGGACAAGATGGCTGCTAAGCAGGACCAGCAGCAGCGGCAAAAACACCCGGCGGCCGGATAAATGTCCTAGGCAGGCCGCATGTGGCCCGCGGGCCATAGTTTGAGGATGCCTGATCTAGACCTACTAAGTGTTACATTAATAAGCTTTCCTGGCTCGGCGCCTGTGGCTCAAGTGGCTAAGGCGCCAGCCACATACACCTAAGGTGGCGGGTTC